TCTTCCTCCATTGGCAGAAATTTTGACTTAATTTGAGTCAAATTTTTAGAATAACAAGACAAATAATCTGACACATTCTGAAACTAAGATTATTATTCTTACACAATCAGTTCTTATTTAGTAAATCAGTCTCAAAACAAGATCAAAAAGACTTTTTGGCTGATATAAGATTTTAAAACTTGGTAAGATGGACAGTTTTTGCAGTGAAGTTGTTACTCCTGTTTTATTCCGAGTTGTTATTACTTATAAAAATACTATCCTGATAAATTGTGTCTCCTGGATAGTGAATTGTGGTTGGATGAGAAGTAAAAATATATCATTCTGACACCATATTAGCTTGTATACAACCCATCACAGCTGCACACTATTAGAATTTTTTTTTGAGAAGTCACCTCCCAGTAAATGTCATTTTGGAAAATATAACTCCTCACTTTTAGTCAGTACTTTTACTTTTAAGTAGATTTTGTGTCAGAAATTTACTTTTAATACTTCTTCAGTACAAAAAATATCAGATACTTTAAGACTTTTACTCAAATAACATTTTTAGAGAAAACTTTAACTTTTACCAAAATATTTTTTATAAGATACTTGTACTTTTACTCAAGTATCACTTTGAGGTACTTTATACAACACTGGTTTCATCTCAGGTAAATTCATTTTCCATATTTTTGAGATCAGTACAGGTAAATGAAACAAACATTAATCCTGTTGGTACCCACCGCCTGTGTTCACTGATGCTTTTCTTCTCTGCTTCAGAAAGATTTGAGGAAATTTCTTCTTGTTTTTGGTCTCTGATAACAAGTGATCGCAATGCAAAGTCTACTGGTGAAATGATCGTATGATTGTTTAAATTATTTCTGCTTGTTTCTCGGGTTTTTATAAAACATCACTACCATGACAACTAGTCATTTAAATTTTCTAATTGTACAGTTCAAATATAAACATCATTTCACATGGTGGGTCCGTGGAACAGCCTTTAAATATAAAAGGTTCCAAATAAGGTTAATTTTAAATTGTTGCTAAAAAACCCCATTTATTTTCACTGACATTTATTGTAGTTGAGCAGCATATCTGTATAAGGTTATTTCCTAATGGTTTTCAAGATTATGAGTTATTGTTTTCTTGTGCATCATTCAGTAATCCTGGTGATGGCCCGATCCCCCTCAGCTGGTCACCGATAAAGTTTGTTATATCAGCAGGATCACTGTGTAAGTCTATTGATCTGCAGTCGGACTCCTTAAATGATGAGGGCTGATATGAAAGTTATCTGTAGAAGAAAAACGAACTGTAAATTCAGTCTGTGTAATGATACAAAAATGACAAAATTATGTCCAATAGATTGCCTTTAGGCCCATGCCATCCTTGCAAAAGAGATCTGCGATCTCAATGGGATTTGTCTGGATGGATGGATGGATGGATGGATGGATGGATGGATGGATGGATGGATGGATGGATGGATGGATGGATGGATGGATGGATGGATGGATGGATAGATAGATAGATAGATAGATAGATAGATAGATAGATAGATAGTAAACTTCATCCAGCTGAGGGGACCAGGCCTATGGTGACTGAATGATGCACAATGGAAAAATCATCTCAAAATGAACTTGTTTTTTTTTCAATATTTATTCATTTAATTTAAAAACAAACAAATTCACATACAAAAACACATGAAATAAAATGAAAGGTAGCAGAAAGAAGAAAAAAATCTTAGAATATCTGCCCCTATTTAAAATATATATATTAATAATAATAATAGTTTCAATCAATAACAAAACAACAACTCCAGCTCCTAAACAGCAGCTCTTATAAATACAAATGATAGAATTTCATATTTCTTTAACAAATATTTTTTATCGTTCTTTTAAACAAATTAATTGAGCCAGAATTTTTACAATAACTATCCAGAGTATTCCATAATCGTATTCCTTGGACTGAAATACATCTGTCCTTCAAATTTATTCCAATTTTAGGTTTTAAAAACATTTCTAATCCCTTCAGATTGTAACCACTTTCCCTCTTAAAAAATGTGATTAGATGTTCAAAGGTAATTCAATTTTATGAGCCTTATACATAACCTGCAATTTTTTTTATTCACTGTTATTTTACCAGGCAAGTCCCATTGAGCTCTCAGATCTCTTTTTCAAGGGAGGCCTGGGCCTGAAGGCAACCTATTGTAGGCTACATGTTTTTAGGGGTGGGGTAAACTGGAGTTCCCAGAGAAAACCCACGCAAGCATGAGGAGAACATGCAAACTCAGCACAGAAAGACCCCAAGTCCGAAACGGGGATCTAACCCAGGACCTCCTTGCTGTGGGGCATCAGTGCTAACCACTGAGCCATCGTTATAATCAACCAACTCATAAAGCTTCAATAATTTCAGCTGATAAAATTTGATGGGTGACAGTAACGTTTTCTAGTGATAATTCTTACGGCTCTCTTCTGCAAAATAAAAATAGGATTTGTAATTGTTTTACATGCTTTCCACCAAAACAAGTGTGGAACAATTATTGCATTATATAGAATAAACAGTGCTTTATCATTAAATAACTCTTTCACTTTGTACAATACTGCAATGGATTAGGCTATTTTTGTCCTTAAATCATTTATGTGAGGTCTCCATGTCAGCTTTTCATGACAGTCAAAAACTTCACCTCACTGACTCTGCAAATCTCAACACCCTCGACTCTAAATGAAACATTGGCAGTTTTTTTTTCTATTACTCAATATCATATAATTAGTTTTGTCCAAGTTTAATGATAATTTAATAAGTTTAAACCAAGATTTCCTATATTTTTTTCATTTTTATGTTTTTATGTAATTCATGCTTGGCCAAGTGAACCCCAAGCTTCAATTTTCAGTAGTTTAGATCAATGACCAATGGCCATAAAATTGGTTTTAGATTTTTTACTTTTCACCTGTAGAGGGCAGTAATACAAGTCTGTACTGCCACAAATTGAGGAAAAAGAGGAGGAGGAAGAAGAAGAAGCGGAACATATCGGACGAAGAAGAAGAAGCAGCAGCTCCCAAACTGGGACATACGCTTCCATTAGTGTCTAATTTGTCATGCTGTCACATACCCATAATATTTTTCTCCTTTGTCTGCAGTATTCTTAACTTACGGAATGTATAGAAGAATATTTAATAGAAACAAAATAGCTCATTTAAGATAGTCGAGTACGCACTGATGGTGTTTAGCTAACACAAGCTAACGAAGCTATGCTACATGGACATTCAGGTTAGCTCACGACAGCTATCTCCGGTGTGTGTCCTGACTAAACCAGGAAAGGGGTGAAGAGAAGCTCCCTGCAAGTTACAGGTTTGTGCAACATTTGAACGTGTGTTTTAGCAGTGCTGAAGTGGCTAGCGGGTACTACTCATGGGTTGTGTCTCTGTTAGTCTTAGCAGTTAGCATGCTGGCACAAGCAGTGCTACTTTCTCTGTTATACTTTTATTTCTTAAGCTGCCACTCTGTTGTTCCTGTCTTTCAGTCATGTTCCTACTGAAATAAAATGACAACTCGTGAAACACATGCGAAATAAGTGAAATAAGATAAACTGAAGTGCGATGAAGTTATTTCTTTCGAAATCTAATCTAATAATGTGCATTAGGTAATTAAAAATAGGCTGCTGTGTCCAGAATTTCAAACAGGGCATCAATTAAAAAAAAAAGAGAGAATAAATTTTTATTTCTACATGCTTATGGGGGACGATGAGACTTTTTGAGATAATATTCCCATCTGTTTATAAGAGAAGTTAAATAGCCAGAATACACAAGAATATTGTCTATGCGAGAACAGTGGTCTACACAAGTCAGTTAGCCTGTTTTTAAGTTGTTATGTGACAAACATTGCTAACTTCCATGGAAGAATTCAAAGTAAATATTACTACTAATAAAAACAAGTTAGAAATTATCAGTTGATTATTTTTGCCTTAGCTTTGTAGCTACACTAGATGTGAATTTCCAGCTGTGGGTGTTGTTAAATAATATTGTAAACATTTTAACCCTTCTGATGCCCTCAAATCAAAATGGCCAATGAGGTCTCAGTTTTATAACTGCGGTATCGGTTCATTCTGAACCAAGAGCAACAGGAGGATTAATTCCTGTTATGTTACAGATATTGGTGTTACTTAGTCAGTTGTAGGAGTGACATTATTTATTGTAGCTATAACAAATATGACAAAAAGCTGTGTTCACGAACATTCAATTTTTTTTAGATGCTCTTCCCCCTCCCCCAGTGGTTTTGATTTAGAGTTTTACAGTTCTCAAACTGTCCTATATAAAATAATTGTGGCTTTGTTTATAAAGTTTTCCCTTAATGATCTTGTGCTGCTTTACAGGTATTGCAGGTCATGTGCCCATGGACAATACGGCCTTTGAGGGGTGGCTGGAGTCGGTCTCTGCCACTTTCCTTTCTCTTAATGACCAGCAGCGCAACGTGTCCCTGGACCACCTTATATCTTTAAGTGGTGCTGCCCAGCTCCGTCACCTGTCCAATGGACTAGAGACGCTGTTAAAACGTGACTTCCTGCGACTGCTCCCTCTGGAGTTGACCTTCTACCTGCTACAGTGGTTGGATCCTCAGACCCTGCTCACCTGCTGCCTGGTCTGTAAACAATGGAATAAGGTAACTTATCTTGCTCTTTGTAGTAAAACTATTGAATCCCTTTCCTCTGCTTTGACTCAAAATACCAATTCCAGTTCAGTTATTTAAATATAGGCAGGTCACAAAAAGTTCTCCTCATTGCAAATTACAAAAGAAAGTAAATAAATTAATTGTCAGGTGCATGCATTCCACTGAAACATAGTTATTTCAGTAAGTTCAGTATAGTTTTACTTCAAGTTCAGTACAGTTTGGTTCAGACTCAAATGTAGTCACATCCTGCCTGCTGCATTTAATTAGGATATCGTTTAACCCAACTTGAGACCATCAGATTTAGTAACCTTAGTTATATAAACAGACAGTTTTTGGGGGGCAGATGATAGGAGTTAAATTATTAATTTAAATAACCCACTGAGCCATAGTGTGATTTCAAACTCGAGTCTAATTGTAGTTCTTAAATTGTCCCAATTATCTGTAGGTTGAAAGTTTAGACTTTTGAAATTATTTAAGCATTCAGTCAGCTCGCAATAATTTCACACCCTTGTTTTCTCTACTCAATGACAGCAGCTGTGTTTTGTTTAGAGGTGAGCGATATAAATTGCAGATGATATTATCGTCCATGTGCTTTGAAGATACGCTATTTTACATTATCGTGTATTCATACTGTCTCGAAAAGACAACAAATACGGTGGCGAAGACAGAGGCATAAGTCCCCATTCGTGGAAAATTTGCCTCAGAAACCAGTCAGCGGGCAGAATTAGCTATTATACTATTACATTTCAGTAAAACCAGATCTTCTCTACTGTCAGTCACATTAGTTCCCATTTCCTTGTTTTGGTTTGTTTCAGTTCATCCCATGTAATCATAATGAAAATAATAAATCTAATAATAAGTCTCTCTTCTTCCAGGTGATAAACTCATGTACGGAGGTGTGGCAGAGTGTGTGTCAACAGCTGGGCTGGAGGATTGATGAATCCATTCAGGATGCATCCCACTGGAAGGGGGTTTATTTAAAGGCTAAACTGCGCATGATGCAGCTGAAGGATCAGGAGGCCTTTGTGACATCCTCGCTTATTGGCCACAGCGCTCGAGTATACGCTCTCTATTATAAGGATGGCCTCCTCTGCACAGGTACACTGACTTCAGTTGACTGTTAGTCTGGAACATTTCAGCCACACACAGATGGTTGGCTCTGTCAGTCTGCATGGATCATCTCTCTGCTCACAGGACCTTAAACACTTAAACAACGCACGCTAACTCCCGATCTTAATCAATGAAATATTCGCATTGAGTACTTTGTTCTGTACAGAGTTGAATGTGCTTCACAAAAGTTTGATTTACTTGGACTTAGCGTGCATTGTTTAAGTGTTCCCTTTATTTTTTTGAGCAGTGTATATATTGACAGACATTTTTCTTATTTTGTTTCTAGACGTTACCGCAATGAATTTTAAACAAAACAATTCAGATGCAGTTTAAGTTCAGACTTTCAGCTTCAATTCAGTGGGTTGAACAAAATGACTGCATAAAAATGTGAGGAACTAATTGGACAGATTAAATAATTGTAAACAAAATGTTCATTTTTAGTACTTGGTTGAAAAGCCTTTGTTGGTAATGACTGCCTGAAGTCTTGAACTCATGGACATCACCAGACGCTGTGTTTCCTCCTTTTTAATGCTCTGCCAGGCCTTCACTGCTGGTTTTCAGTTGTTTGTTTGTGGGCCTTTCTGTCTGAAGTTTAGTCTTTAACAAGTGAAATGCTCAGTTGGGTTGAGATCAGGTGACTGACTTGGCCATTCAAGAATATTCCACTTCTTTACTTTAATAAACTCCTGGGTTGCTTTGGCTTTATGTTTTGGGTCATTGTCCATCTGTAGTATGAAACAATGACGAATCAGTTTGACTGCATTTGTCTGGATCTGAGCACACAGTTTGGCTCTGAATACCTCAGAATTCATTCGGCTGCTTCTGTCCTGTGTCACATCATCAATAAACACTAGTGACCCAGTGCCACTGGCAGCCATGCATGCCCAAGCCATCACACTGCTCTGCTGTGTTTTACAGATGATGTGGTGCTTTGGATCATGAGCTGTACCACACCTTCACCAAACTTTTCTCTTTCCATCATTCTGGTAGAGGTTGATCTTGGTTTCATCTGTCCAACGAATGTTCTTCCAGAACTGTGCTGCCTTTTTTTTTTTTTTTACATTTTTTAGCAAAGTCCAGTCTAGCCTTTTTATTCTTGATGCTTATGCGTGGCTTTCAGCGTGCAGTGAACCCTCTGTATTTACTTTCATGCAGTCTTCTCTTTATGGTAGATTTGGATATTGATATTTCTACCTCCTGGAGAGTGTTGTTCACTTGGTTGGCTGTTGTGAAGGGGTTTCTCTTCACCATGGAGATTATTCTGCCATCATCCACCACTGTTGTCTTTCTGCATTGATGAGTTCACCAGTGCTTTCTTTCATTCTCAGGATGTACCAAATTGTGGATTTTGCCACTCCTAATATTGTAGCAATTTCTCAGATGGGTTTTTTCTGGTTTTGCAGCTTAAGGATGGTTTGTTTCACCTGCATGGAGAGCTCCTTTGACACATGTTTACTTCACAGCAAAACCTTCCAAATGCAAGCACCACTCCTCAAATCAACTCCAGGCCTTTTATCTGCTTCATTGAGAATGACATAACGAAGGGATTGCCCACATTTGTCAATGAAATAGCCTTGGAGTCAATTGTCCCAATTACTTTTGGTCCCTTTAAAAACAGGGTGACACATGTTAAGGAGTTGAAACTCCTAAACCCTTCATTCAATTTTAATCTGGATACCCTCAAATGAAAGCTGAATGTCTGGACTTTATATCCATGTACATTATATAACTATAACTTGAATATGTTTCCGTAAACAGGTAAAAAGACAATTTGTGTCAGTGTCCAAATATTATGAATGGCTTTTTTTGTTACAGGCTCTGATGACCTTTCTGCCAAACTATGGGATGTGCGCACTGGACAGTGCATTTATGGAATTCAGACGCACACCTGTGCCACTGTAAAATTTGATGAACAGAAGCTTGTGACTGGATCTTTTGACAACACTATTGCATGCTGGGAGTGGAGCACTGGGGCTAAAATCCAGCAGTTCCGTGGCCACACAGGAGCAGGTCAGTAAAAACCTTTAGCAAATGTCTGACCAGAGTATTGTAAAACCTTAGAAAGTAGGTTTTTATTTATTTATTGAATGAATGAATTGTACAAGGTGTTAAAATATCAAAATGTATATGGTTGATTGTAATAAAGCCCTTCAACATTGAGGTAATAGTTAAAGACCATCTCACCTGGTCCTAGTTCTGTAGATTTATTTGTTTTGTGTGTGCACTCAGTTTTCAGTGTGGACTACAACGATGAGCTGGATGTTCTCGTCAGTGGCTCTGCAGACTTCTTAGTAAAGGTCTGGTCTTTGTCTGCTGGTGCTTGTCTCAACACTCTAACAGGACACACTGAGTGGGTCACCAAGGTCAGTTCATTTTCTAATCAGATTCTTTTTTCTACATTGTTTTTTTCATGATTGTTTATTTTTTAACTTCTGTGTTGCCTGTCATCAGGTGATACTACAGAAAAGTGAAGTAGAATCAATGGTCCACAGTCCCGGTGATTATATTCTCCTAAGTGCTGACAAGTATGAAATTAAGGTAACGTTCTCTTCCTGTGGTGTGTTTTATTGTAAGTTGGAGAGAGAAAAAAGGAAATGAACTTTATCATTGTTGAAGTTAGGGATATTTTCATGTGAAAATTGATCAGTAGGATGGAATAAAGTTTGCCACTTCTACAGGTTTGGCCTTTAGGCAGAGAAATCAACTGCAAGTGTTTGAAAACACTGTCAGTGTCCGAGGACCGCAGCATCACCCTTCAGCCTCGCCTGCAGTTTGATGGACGCTACATCGTCTGCAGTTCAGACCTCGGTGTTTATCAGTGGGACTTTGCCAGTTTTGAAATTCTCAGGTAAGAGAGGTAGATGTCAAATCAACGAGTTAATATACTGTATTTGTTGGATAACAAACAATGCCACACTAAATACAAAAAGTATTGACTTTTTGTTTACTTTAATGTGTCCATTTGTTTAGTGATCAGTGAAAAGTGAGATCAGAAGAGCTCTATATGTTTATCTAATAAAGCCCAGTAGTAGGGTTGGGCAAAATTGTAATGTGTGCAATTAATCGCCAGAAAAACTTTCAACATTTATTATTTGTCACTTTGCGATTTATTACAATAGGTGGACTGACCAGGGAAAGGGCTTGCCTACATCCTTGTCAGTGTTCACTCTGACTGTTTCATCCCCCCATCTCTGCCTTTGAGCTTCCCTCTTTTCTTTTTCTGACTGCGGTTCGGTTAATCTGGCTGCAGCTCCACTTCAATCAACTGTAGCTCCATGTTTAAAAATCACCTAGTTTTGACGTAGACACTAAAACTGACAAAACATTAAACACACTAAACTACCCCCTAAGTATAAATTATGAACACACTAAATATTATAAATATCAAAAATAAAAAATCTCAGTCCTGATCTCGCTGTCTCTCTCTCTCTCTCGCCGCTGAACTTAGCCAAAATCAGAATCGGCAGGTCAGACATTTTAAAGATTAATGATCGGTCAGAAAACTGAAATCGGTGCACCCCTAGTAAATAATACAAAAAATATTACAATTGATAAATGATGCATTCTATCATTAGCATGGGGGAGTGATGGGTTATTGAATTTAAAATGTGCTAGCATTAACCTGTTTTTCTTGGAAATGACCCCACCCTCAACTGCTTCTTGCACATAGAGAAACACTGTAATCTCTACTTCATCCATGTGGACCAGGCAAAATAATGCTTTGTTTTAATAATTATTTACTGAAAAAAGATCCTTTAGAAAAATTAACCGTGATCTGACACATCTCTGCCCAGAGCTGAGATATCGTTATTTATTCCACAAAATGATAACCTGAAACTACTTCGGTAGTAATAGTTTTATAGCATACTTGGGTAACCAAAAAAATAATAGTTCTGCTTTGAATTAAACACTCTTACACAGAGATGAAATGTTTCATTTATATATGGTGTACATCTTGTAAACAAATTAATTTTGTCTGTGGCATTTTTAATCTAACTAAACAAGGTTAAGGTATATTAGAATTAAATCCATGCATTAAGTGGACTGTTTCTTTTTCTGTTCTCAGAGTAATAAAAATGCAAGACCCAGCCAACCTGTCCCTGCTAAGCTTCGGTGAGGTGTTTGCTCTCCTTTTTGATAACCATTTTCTGTATGTGATGGACCTAAGGACAGAGGCCATTTCAGGCCGTTGGCCTCTACCAGCCTACAGGAAATCTAAACGAGGATCCAGCTTCCTGGCAGGCGTGACCTCCTGGCTTAATGGCCTGGATGGGTGCAATGACTCTGGACTGGTGTTTGCCACCAGCATGCCTGACCATAGTATTCACTTAGTTCTTTGGAAGGAGAATGGGTAGTGGAAAACCAGGTCTTCAAATCCTAGAGAGCTGGCATATATGAAGATTTTCTCTAGGGTAACTGCCAAGAAAGATCATTCATGGGCAAAAGTATTTTTGTTTAACCTCGTTATTCCCTCAACATTCAAGTCCTCCTCTGAACTTCATCATGAACAGATGGAAATTAAAATCCAATTAAGAACTTTTATGAACTGATTCCTGATGTGCTAACTCAAAGCTGGATAAGTGCTTGACCAGAAATACTTCCAAGAAGCCAAATGATCAGTGACCAAGGATGATGGTGGAGATTGTCTGAGTTACCAAAATAACAGCCATCTTTTGTAATGGATGTTTATGTGTAAAAAAAACAAAGAACAAAAACAAATACAAATATGCATGTTGCAGTTTTGCTCTTTGATAGTTCAGGACTGTACAAGCAAGAGTCTTTGTAGCTAACTTAATCTGTAGTGTAGTACTTAGGTGCCATCTCTGTTTAACATTTTCCTACAAAAACATGATGCCACGCCAGAGACTGAGCTGACTCTAGAAAATATCTGAGTAAAAGCAGGGTTGCCTTAAACTGTTTCTGTAAAGACAGAAGGATATCTTTTGTTTCTGAAAATGTGCTGCAAGATTAAAAAAAGGGTTTCGAAGCTGTTATCATGGAACAAGCTGTGTATCTTACCATCTGAGAAGTGGTTTGGTACATAGTGGTTTACCATGTAAAACAATGGCAGGCCTAATGTAAATCCACTGGATATTTGTTTTGAAGGTGTCTGGTTTAAATGTCAGCTTGATAAATGTGATGTGCCTTTTCAGTTCCTTTTGAATAGCTCAACCAGACTCCAGTAAGGCAGTGGGTGCATTGTGAATTCTTTTTTTTTTTACCCCTCATATTTACTAACCATTTGAGATGCCTGCAGCTTTATCACTTGGTCAATGCACCACTTTTATGAATCATTGACTGTGTAAAAGGTGAAGTTTGTTTTTGTTCAAGGCATCAGGACAATGCACAGTTGAGAAGCAAGTTTTGAGTGAGTTTGTGTCCAAAATGACTGTTTTAAACATAAAAAAACAATGATTTGATGCTTTTACAAACCTGTCCCCTCAATCCCAAAATATTCTCCTGTAATCTGAATGTAAACTAACCATTTTCCCATATTATATTCTTCCTGCAGCACTTAATTCAGGTATTAAACACAATATTATTTTTATTCGTATGTGTTACGACGAAAAATAAAAATGGCTAGAAAAATTATGTAATGGAACATGAAACTGTTTTGGTTTGATTCAGTTGCATTTATATACGTTGTGTTTATTTTCACAAACTTCACATTTGAGTCACCTTCAACAATCTACTTCAATACTGCATTCTTTCTAATAAATAACTGTAGTAAATGCAATTACTGTTTGTTTTGTCTGTTTGTCTGAGACAGTGTAAGGATCCTCACAAACCCCAGCTGAGCACCTTGGCGTGCAAAAATCTGTGAACGCCAGTCTGCAGTAGTAGACTGTAAAGAATGGGACCAAGATGAGACATGAAGAGGACAGTAGCTGGTCTGGGATCCTTCATCTCATGCCAGGATGTATCTCACTGCACCTTGCCCAGTTCTAGGCTCATATTGAACAACTGGGCTGCACACATTTAAAAGTTTTGGGTACGCCATCTCCTGTCCTTTTAATCATCAAAGCAAAATTTTCAAAATTAAGGCAGGCAAATGTCAAGTTTCAAGAAAACATTAACCCTTTGACATGGAAAGTTACAATTAATTTGGTTGGAACAGTCATAGGAGAATTGTGCATTATACACTTTGGACAACATTTGAGCCTCACTGAAACAAAAATCCATTCTGGTAATTACAGCAAAATTGTTTAGTGGTTAGCACAGAAGCCTCAGCAAGATAGTCCTGGGTTCGATCCCTGGGTCAGACCCATGGTCTTTTTTTGTGGAGATTGCATGTTCTCCTTGTGCTTGTGTTTTCTCTGGGATTTCTTCCACAGACCCAAAACATGTACAGGTTACCGTAAGGCCCAGGCATCCCTTGCAAAAGAGATCTATGATCTCAATGGAATTTACCTGGTCTACTAGGAAACTAGACTATCAGGAAAAAAACAGACACACAGGAAGAACATGCTTACTCCACACAGATAAGCTCCTGCTATGATCTTGTTAAATGACATTGTCATTAACCACCTGCTCCGTCATGCATAATAAACCCAGACCATCTTTATGGTCTACTCTTCAGGCAAAACAAACATCATTGAGGGTATTATTTTAGAATTTGTCTTCCAAGTTTTTTTAAATTACATATAATTCTTTAACTTATGTTATTAGATGAGGGATTGCTTTCCATTTTGCAGCAGTAGTCTCTTCAATAATAATTGACAATATATTGACTATTCTGCTGTGCAGTTTCTTGTTGGCAATTCTGTGTACTTTATTTTGTATAAGACTAGTTGTGCTTTGATGTCAAAGGCAGACATATGATTGCCTCCGCACGTTCACTTTTCCTGCCCATAACGTCTGATTTGTGGTACACATTTGTATGAGACAGTGTGTCACATTATCTTTTCATCACCTCAGTTCTAAGTTTAAGGTTAAAAACCAAGGTCAAAGGTTATGCAAAGATTTTGTCTGGGCCATTGATATAGACTGCTGTATAATAGTTTGTTGATGAGTGTATATGTGCCATATGCAGTACTCTTGTTGAGGGCTTTTGCCATGACATTCTTTTAGTTTAAAAGCAAGGTTTCTGTTATCTTTTTTGTTATCTTGTCTTGAATGTTGGTAGTCAATAGCTAATCCTCTCATGTCTGATTATTCAGGGCCATAACAAGTAAGTCTTTTAATTCCAGTAACACATTTCTTCATATCTCATGTAATCTCCATATCTCATTCTTTGTCACCCTCTGTCTCCCTTTCTGTGTCATCAAAGACGGAGTTTAGAACAACATCAAAACATTGTTCATGCCTGCTGTCTTTCCTGATAGGGGGGAAATCTGGGAGTGCTCACACACTTATCCATCGTGACCTTGTGCGCCAGTCATTGCTGTAATCTCCAGTTTAATAATAATAATAATAAGTTTGTACTGAATGAAAAACTGACATTAAAAGTATCCACTCTAAAATGACGAACAATAAAATGGCATACGTATTTCGAGACAAACATTTCTGGAGCTTTCAAACAACAGTAACCTTGTTTCCATCAACATTTTTACGCACATTTTGAAGCATCGCAATAGATAAGGTTAATGGAAATGGCAAAATATAAAAACAAAATGTCCTAAATTTTGCAAAAAAAAAAAACTACTCTTGCTTGAAATAGTTTGTAGGGTTTGTGTCTTCCAAAAACAGTTAATGAGCAAAAGGGGGGATGGAAACACTTGCCTTAAAAGTTCTGATGCAGTGAACATTTACCTCACATGATTGATCAGCTTTTTCCACTGACGGCTTACTCCCAGGAATTTCCACCACACACAAAAACATGGCTGGATGCAACAACAGGTGCATGTGGACTGACAGCATGCAACAATGCCCATACTACTTGATATGACAGAACAATTACAACTAGCCCAATAGCAATACCAGCAGTACTAGTGATACCATTGTCCTGAGATGTGTGGTCCCTGCTAGTTTGCAACCTCTGCTTCCTGTTTATTACAGCCATGAGTAAAGTCAATGTCTGACGATATAAAGCTCCGCATAGCCTGACTGATTCTCCCCAAACCTGTAGATGGAAACATGCCTAATCCTAAATCGCAATTCCTTTTTTTGCAATATTTTAAAAGTTCACTCAAAATTTGCATTTCCATTGGATGGAAACATGGCTAGTGTGCACACATGGCTTAGTGTCCTTGTTTGGCTTCTGTTTGTGCTGGCATTAACTTTATCAGTCATCTGGAATGGCTTCATCCATCAACTTCATGTAGGCCAGACTACCATCTTCTACTGGAAAACTGAGGACTTCTGGGTTTGAATAGGGATGGATGGACCTTGAAAGAAGACAAAAAACACACCAGTGGAAGCACTTTCAGATCCTTTAATTCAATGAGAAACTTGCAATCTGTAACAAATGCAATTTACATTCTTTAATTAGGTTTATGCGATTGGGTCAGTTTGCTCTTTTTTTTTTTTCTAATAGTCACACTTGTTGGCAAGATACCCAGTTAAGTTTGGATGCTATTTTTATCAGAACTGTGTAATATGGGGCTGATATTTTTCTTTCAAACATACAGTATGTAAAATTAAAGCTAAAATAATTATAATCATGGGGAATGGTATATTTTGAACATTGGTATTTTTATTAATTCACCCTTTTGTTTTAATTTTCAGTGTGCCAGCTGCAGTAGTGTTTAGTTAAATTTTACAGTGTTTTTCTAAAAATGTCAAAACCTTTTCCTCTTGAGTTTCTGACAGTTTGTCATAAAGTATAAACAACAACTTTCACAAGTCAGCAAAGCTTTGTAACAGACCTTATTAAATACAAGAAACCATATATTAAATTTGTGTTTGGTAGATTATGTCTTTGTTGATGACAAATTTGCCAAATCTTCTCTGCCAAACAGCTTATTTTTTGCTGTTGCTATTGACACTTGTTTTGAGCTTCTAGTAACCCCAGGTGCTGCCAGCCAGGTGTATACGATTTATTACCAAGAAGCATTGTTACCACAAAGAAATAATCTAATAAACACAAATTTACTTACTTTTTGTACTAAGTACATCTTGCCACTTCTTACCTCACAAAATCAACAACTTGGTGGATCTTGGAAGTTTTTGTTCTCACCAGCTGAAATGACAGTGAGAGTCAAATAAGCCTGTTTCATTAGGCCAAAGGACATGTTGATCACAATACAGCTTACTATCAGTGTTTCAGTAGCATCTTGGATTTCACCTTTCCAATAGTACCTAAAAAAACAAACAAACAAACAAACAAAAAAAAACATGACAGATTAAGTCTTTATAGGAGGTAATGCATTCTGCCTACTTTCCTACATAGGTGTTCTCATTTTTTCAGAATAAAGCTTTAGTCAATAACTGTAACCCTAATTGTTAGCTTTTATATTCTCTTTCTTTTGTGCTTCTCCATGAACAGGAAAAGTAGCTACCGGTATACAAATAGGACTGCTCTGAGAGCTAACTGTAAACTGAGATAAGATTTTTGGCATGACGCCCACTCGCAGTGTGGTGTTCTGAAAAAAACAAACATGCAGAAGAGTGGACAAAAATATGTTGGTACACAGTATGTGACAGTGTGTAAGGCATAGATAGAAATGTCTGCAAGTGTCGGAATCACATAGGATTTACATTGTGGAGGTCTTGGGGAAAATATTAACGCCAGCTGCCAGACGTTTTTCCATGACAGCCCTGCAGGAAAATGGTAGAGAAAACAAGCATTTAATACCAGTATATACGTTTTTTTTAATTCTGTACAGCAAGAAGCCAAACTTTTAAGTACCTTTCTCGTCAAGAAGAGTAAAGATTTTTTAGTATTTTTGTTTTTATTAAAATTCAGAGACAGGTGGTAAGTTAAGGTAAACAAATGCATTTTATTTATTGCTGTACCTGCCAATGTCCTTGGCTATCTGTTCACTGGGACTGTTGATTATTAGGACAGAGTGGTGGCCTGGTGTGTAGCTCCCCGTTAGGACTGCGTGAAGCTGAACAGCTAAGGACCTCAACCCAGGATACACGGACACAGTCAGGACCAAAAACTAGAGAGGGTTTGAAGTATAAAAGAAAAAAAAAATCAACAAAGTATGGTCAAGTTAGGGGATATTTCAGAGCCATAGCTGTGTCACACCTGGCACTAACTTCCATCTACTGTAATTGGATCACATGAAAGGTGGTGAATATGGGCATGGATGCTATCAAAACCTTTAGAAGATGACATTGCTCAGATCTCAGTCTGGTCTAGTTTTATCAGTTTTAGACCATATTGACCTGGAGTGATTCCAAGTAAGCAGTTCACCTGCGTGCCTCCCAG